CTGCGTGGCAAGGAGAATGGTTCCTTTTAAGACATGGATTCTTTTTGACCGTATGTTGAGTCACTTGTGCAACTAATAAATATAATTATGCATGAGATTTTTCTGTCATTTTCCCATAGGCTACTGTATCTGCTGTGTTTGGCTCCTTTGATTTGCTAGAATGGAAACATTTATTTAGCCTTCTCCTTACCTCCTTCCCCGACCCCAGCAAAGACAGCACCATGCAATCCTAGGCTGAGAGCAGGCCTGAAAGGTGGCCGAATAAATGGAACAACCCACCAGCGGTGCCCAGATGGTAGCAGGAAAAGGCAGTGCCAATGCGCCCTCCCCTAGTACCTTCCCAGGGCTACTGGGGCGCACTCCGCGTACAAGGAGTGAGGAGGGGAAGAGAGCCATCCAGGCTATGGAGGCCTAATGGCTGGCATTGAGAAAATTCCTCCAAAGGTGTCTCCTACCCTATGCCCAGGTACCATTGTAGGTCACGCTTTTTCAAGCAGATTTGTTTTTTTTGTTGTTGTCGCGTGACTGTTTATTTCTCTGGACCTATAAATCATGCCTGGAGAATTGATTCCACGAGGAGAGGAGGATGAGATATGAGGCAAGTGAGTCAGAGCTGAGTGCTCATGCGGCTACTGGGGACCACGTGCAGGAAACTCACGCTTCAGTGGGGACATCGACTGCTCAGGTGTGCAAGGGCCAGTAGAGTCTTCCCTCAACCTGTGAGGCCCAGAACCCTGAGCTCTCAGGCCCAGCTCACCGGTGCCCCCTGCTGGTCTCAGAAGTCACATCCTCCAGCTCACCTCACACCCCCAGATCTTCTGGAAGGGCTCCGATTTTGTAGTTGGGCCCTTCTAATGTCACTACGCAGGACAGAAGAGGCAGCAGGTCCCCTCTGTGATGTTTGAGTTGATCACTCTTTTTTCAGGTCGCTAATCATCTCCAGACAACACAGTTACGTGCTGTAGTACCAGGTTTTAAAGGATCGCCTGGGAGTTGTTTCCTTCTGTCTGGCCCCTGGGTTAATTTCTAGTACATGACCATTTTGAACAAAATTTGATTCTTAAATATTCCCAGAAAGCCCTGTTAGTTCATACCTGGTAATCATTTTACTTGGGTGATTCTTGCAGATGGAAACACTTGGTTGTTCTTTTTGTTGTGGTTTCTGTAGATGTTGTCAGGGGCTCCTATAAGATCCCCCTACCCTCAGGGACAGGCTTTGGCTCTTTATTCCTGCCTTGAAACACAACACTGTCAGGGGACAAATGTCTTGTGTTCTTGGTTCCTTATGCAGGTTCTCATTTACCCTTAAATGTTATACTGACAATACTTTTGACTCTTGAGGTATTTAAGATCTTTTACATAATTTTGTAATTTTTTAAAATACAATGATTCTCATTTCATATCAGTTATTGTACTGACTCAATCATATCACTGACTGATTCATATCCACCACATTATTATGAATGGAACTCTACCTCTTCTTACAGGTTCTTCCTCCGAAATGGAATTTACAAACCCTCATTTTCCATTCTCCAGCCTTCATTATCCCTGATCAAGTTCATTTGTTAAGAGTTCCAGGGATTTAATGGAAATGGGGTTTATTAGGCCTAGGCCCGAATGAACTAATAATTACCACCTATCATCCCAACTACATCAACGACAACAAACACGGAGTGAAAATTAGCACAGGCCAGAGCCTGAGAGCTGCGCCCTTCAAGGGGAGGCCTCCCAGTGCCTGGGGATCAGGCACTCATCCCGAGTGTAATCTGAAGAAAGAAGAACAACCCAGCTTCCCGAAGGGGTCAGGATTCAGAGAATGAACATCAAAGCCAAGACGAAGAGCAGGAGACAGGCTGGCGGTGGTAGAGGTGACCTGGGCCTCCCAGGTCACAGAAGCTAAACTTCTGCTTTTCTTTCTCTTAATTTTATTTTTTCAATTACAGTTTACATTCAATATTATTTTGCATTAGTTTAATGTATACAGCATAGTGGACATCATATACTTTACAGAGTGTTCCCCTTGGTATTTCCAGTCCCCACCTGGTACCATACAGAGTTACTAGTGTTATTGACTGCGTTCCCTATGCGGTACTTGATATCCCCGTGACTATTTTGTAAATACCAATCTGTACGTCTTAATCCCTTCAACTTTATTGCTTAGTCTCCTATGCCTCCTTTCCTCTGGCAACCATCAGTCTGAGTCTATGACTCTGCTTCAATTTTGTTTGTTTATTTATTTTGTTCTTTAGATCCCACATAGAAGGGAAATCACATGGTATCTGTCTTTCTCTGACATAATATCCTCGAGGTCCATCCATGGTGTCACAAATGGTAAGATGCCATTGTTTATTATGGCCAAGTAATATTCCACTGTATGCATTGTATTCCATTGTATCACATCTTCTTGCTGGCTTTACTCTGAAAGCCACCGTGTTTTGGGGGTTCTGCCAAAAATGAGATTGGGGTACAATGATGGAAACTGATTTTCCAGGTAAAGACTTATGCCCCACCTTTCAGCAGGTATTTTGTTCCCTCTGGGTGATTTGGGTTTGTGTGCAGGTGGACACGGTGTCCTTGTGTGTGACCTCTGTGATTAGCCAAACTTAGAAATGAAAAAGCAGATCAGTTTATGTGAGAGTAGTTGAAATCTACCAGTTTAACACACGAGTTTTAGAATGTTAATGTATACACATATACTAAACCATATGCCAGTGAAGGGATAGGATAGTTGCAGAATCTTCTCTGGGGAGATAACAACTGAAGTTGACATTTCTGTGCAGGTTGGCACCTCCCATAGACCAGATCTGCCTCTGAGAGTGAAGCACTCCGCAGAATTCACGGGCAACATTAGAGCATCACAGTGTCTAGGCACCAGAGCATGGATGTGGACACATCTGCTGAGCTGCACAAACCTTGGCCTCTGGCCATGGAGAGGTATGTGCCCTGTCACCAGCAGGGGGTGCTGTGGGACTGCTTTTTGGTCCCTACAGTGCAGCTCAGTGAGGACTATTCACTCAAAGGAACTTGGGCCTGGAGGTGGGACTCTGCTCCTGCTGGGGACTCAGCGGCTGTGTCTTCTCTGGCCTGGCAGAGTCCTCTGAGCAGGAACCTTCGTGTGGTCTCAGTGGGTAATTTTTCCCAGGGCCCTCCCAAGGGGTGAAGCCAAACTCCACCGCCTCAGTCTGGGGTGTGAGCTGAGCTCCAGCACCAGGGCTCAGGGAGCTGCTGGGCAGCCTCTGGATGGACCCACATTTGCATGGACGGCCCCTCCCCTAGCAGAGGGTGGGGAAGAAAAGGAGGCCTGGGCAGCCCAGCCCCACTGTGGGCTCAGGGGCTGCGGGCACCATGGCCTGGACTCCTCTCCTCCTCGTGCTCCTCTCTCAGTGCACAGGTTGGGACAGGCCTCGGGGACCAGGCCTCAGTTCTCAGATTCATTTTCTTCATGCTCAGCCTCCTGAGAAACCTTACTGTGGTCCCTGTGTCAACACTGACAAGTGTCTATGTCTGCGGGTTCCCTCTCGCAGCCTGTGCGGACCCAGCCGCCCTCCCTCTCTGCGTCTCGCGGAGCAACAGCCAGACTCACCTGCACCCTGAGCGATGACCTCAGTGTTGGCAGCTGCGGTGTAGGTTGGCGCCTGCAGAAGCCAGGGAGTCTCCCCCCACTTCTCTACTGCCACACAGACTCAGATAAGAACCAGGGATCTGGAGTCCCTGTCTCTTTTTTGGATCCAAAGATGTCTTAACTCAGGTGTTCTGCACATGCTGGTCTGCAGCCCAAGGACGAGGCTGATGATTATTGCACTGCATAAGATGGCAACTCCAAAACTGACACGGTATTTTAGACCCTCAAGAAAATGAGACAAAATCTTCCTCTCTGCTCTCCAAACCAGGCATAGTCACCCCTGCGGGGCAGGTCGAGCTCAGCAGTGACTTGTGTTGTCAGATCTTCTTTCGGACCCTGCTTTTCTTGGCTCAGTTGTCCTAAGGATATTACATCCTTGTCTTCACCTCAGCTTTTGGATTGAGTTATTGCTCGTGCATTCCACTAGGAAGAATACTCTACATCATACTTCCAATATATGCTGTACAGTCAGGATGTACACTATATATATTCATTACACACACACACATACACACAGCCCTTAAGATTCACAGAAGTTGTATCTATCAAGTGCTTGCTCTTTTATTGTTGTTGTTGGTGTTTCAGGACAGTGTCATGGCGTGTGCACGCAGGCAAAGAGTGAGCGCCCTGCTTCATGAGGGCACAGCACAAATGTAGAGCGAGGCCGGAAGACACAGAGGGCCTGCCTGCGAGGTTTTTGCTGTCACAGTGTCCCTGTGAATGGCTCTCCACCCAGAAACTAAACCCATCAGATGGTGGTGACAACCAGACCTGTGCAAGGACAGACTCATTTTCTAGAATAGCTGAGAAAACACTTCACATCCAGAGGATCGTTCTCTGTGGACCAAGAACAGGTAGGTTGTTCAAGGACAAGTCATCCTCCCAGACAGGAGCTAAAATCACTACACAATCTGGGAAGGTGGAAACTCACAAGGCAGAGTCCAGACGCTCCCTCTGAACCGTGAGCCAGGCCGATGGGAGGGCAGTGGGGACAGGGCAAGTCAGTGGAGGTTTTTGTCTCACTTCTCCTCTGCCTGTGTCACTGTGGGTTACACAAAGCTGCTCCCACTGCCATGGTCTGCTCCACAGTGGTAGTCAGCCTCGTCCTCTGCCTGGATGTTCTGGATGGTGAGGTACCGATCCGAGCCAGAGCCTGAGACTGAGAAGCGATTGGGAACCCCGTCCCCCTTGGATCCAACGATACCACTGGGGCCCACTCGCATCAGGAACCGAGGGCCCTTCCCCGGGCCCTGCTGGTACCAGTCCACACTATAGCTGCTGTAGCCACTGCTCAGGGTGCAGGTGAGCTTGGCCGAGGCGCCCAGGGAGGCAGATGCCGATGGTGGCTGGGTCAGCACAGGCTGGGCGAGGGACCCTGAAACACAGACACCCATGATGCCTGGAGGAAGGACGATGGGGAAGGGCATTCCCAGGATGTGGGGGGTCTCAGGGAGCTGGGGAGTCAGGAGGCAGGTTCACCTGCGCAGTGAAGGAGGAGGCTGAGGAGGGAGAGTGGAGTCCAGGCCATGATGCCGACGCCCCGGAGCTCTGCTGAGGCTGACACACTGCTAGTCTCTCTTATCCCCTCAGACTGAGGAGAAAGGGGCCCTCCATGCAAATCAGTTTCTCTCTTCTAGAAAATCAAACATCTCCCTGGGTCCTGTGCATCTCCCCCAGTGACTGAGTGTCATAACCGAAAGGGCTGGGCCTGGGCTGAGGCTCCCCAGGAGCCCAGAGAGAACACAGCTGCTAGGCCCAATGAGCACAGAGCAGAGACCGGGGGTGGGGGCAGGGCGGGGGGGCAGCAGCCTGCGCTCCTCACAGAGAGCCCCATGGACCTTTCATAGACTAACTGCATATAAAATAAGTTCTACTAGTTCTGACAGCAGATACAGTGCAGCCTTGAACTCATTTCCTAGGGTCCCCAGGAATTCAGTGTTTCGCTTCCTATCTGGTTCCTCCCCTGATGGGCACGTAGGATGGAACAGCGGGTGTTTGTGAGGATGAATTAGCAGGCAGCGTTTACTGGATTCACTAGAAAATGAGGGGAAACCTGGGAAGAGAGGCTCAGACAGAAGAGGATGTGAGTGTCAAATCCAGGGAAGATCTGGGAACATTTCCATGACTTTTCTGATGGAAAGACCTGAGTAATGGACTAAAGAGGTCAGAGGGCAGAGGAGGTGAGCAAAGGAACGGAGAGAGACCAGGATTTGGCAAGAAAATTCAGGAGCCAGAGAGGGTGAAGGGGGAGGGGAGGGTGGTGGGCACTTCAGAAAAGCCAACAGCGCCAAAAGGGGCGACGCCAACAGCGGATGGGCAGGAGCCTGGGTGGGGGGAGCAGCCTGGCGGGGGAGGAGGGGCTCCTCCCGCCTTTGCATCTGTCTTCTGATCAGCTCTCTGCCCAGAAAGGCTTTTTATGAATCAAAACTGAATCGTGTGTCAGAACTTTTTCTTAGATTCTGGTCTGACATGAATTCCTTCTATTTTTATGAGCTTGTTAGTATTAAACTATGGATGTCGATTTGGGGGCAGTTGGAAGTGGACTGGAAAGAATCTCAGTCCTCACTTCCAACCCACGGAGTCAGAATCTAGGGAACAAGGCCTCAGGTGCTTCCAGCACCCAGCTGCGGTGGGAAGCGCTGGTCTAACACTGGCTCTGAGACTAGGGTGCATTTTGCATGTGAATTGCTTCTCACATCTCAGCCTTTTCTGCCAAACATAATATGTGCAGCAACTAACCTCCTGTTTACTAATTTGGGGCATTTTACCTCCGGACCAGTGTACTGGAGTCTTCCCAATGAGACCGCTCAGACCTCGAAAGATGTAAAGAAATGACTAGACGTGTGTTAGTAATAACAAGGTGATTGTTACACCTTACTAATATTGATATTAATAAGGGATCAAAAATAGCAAAAAGTATAATTTTCCATTAGTACTTACAATTTTAACTATATTCAGCAGTCACGGAAACATTTCTTATACTTTTCAATACATAGAAATTACATCTTTCTTAACTGGCTATAGCAGTAAAAGAATGAATTATGAGCACACAGGATAATCATAGTTGTGGAATTCTGAGCTCAAAGATGTAAGAAACACACTAAAATTAAAACACACACACACACACACACACACACACACACACACTTTTATTTACTAATAAAGGCAGAGGGTTTCCTCCAAAGGCTGGTCTGTGAAATGTCCATGGACCTGGGCAGAGGGTGAGGAGGAGGAGAAGGAGGACGAGAGGCGTCCAGGTCATGGTGCTAACTTTCCAAGATCCCCTGGCCTCATGTTGGGGCTGGTCTCAGGGGTGTCCCTTTATCTCCTCAGCTCCCTTGGGGAAAAGCGCCTTTGGTGGGGCATTATGCAA